TGATTCTATGATTCTATGATTCTAATCCTTCAGGCTGGAGGTCTCTAGTCCAAACTCCTACTCACAGCAGTGTCAGCTATCAGGTCACACTAAGTTGCAAAGGACTTTATTCATTTAGGGCCCCAAACCCTCTAAAGACAGGGATGGCACCAACTCTGGGAAACCTTGTCATTGTGCATTGGCGTTCATCCTCCCATCATGAAGCTTAAATGTTTCAGGCCCAAAAGGCAACGTCACACCACTAGGAGAGGCTAGCGCTGGGGATGCCGTGCTTGATGCTAACCCACATACAGAGGAGAAATTCAAGACCGCAAGAATCATGGTAGCTGCCATCAGACATGACTCAGAATCACTGAGACATTCAGGTCAGAAAGAACCTTGGGAGGACTCTGGACCAACGTCCCGCTCACATCAGGATGAACAATGAATTCCCATGATGTTCCTCAGGGCTTGTCCAACCTTGTCCATGAAATGTTTTCTGGGGACTTTGTCTAAGATCATTGGTGGACTCCTGGGAAGGAACCCTCCAATGAAGCTGAGGGTGCCTTTTGCTGCCAGGTAAGGACAGCCAGAGGATTCCTTGACTCTCAGCAAGACACTAGCAACCTCGAGCAGCTCCCAACGAACTCTGTCCACTGTCCTTGATTAAAAGGTGCATTGTCGAGAGGCTGCTGAAGATTTTTCAGCCCTTAGACTATTACTCCCTGCTGCTTTTCCATGTAGGTAGCCCAACTGGGCAAGTATTGAGTATGACTACTGGCTCTGGGCATTTAGGTCAAGGTGGCCCATTTGGTGTTGTCCTTGAGCCTGCGTCTGAGGAGGAAGGACTTAGGGTCAATACTTGGTTGCACAGCTGGTATCAGCAACAGGGTTTTAGTTTCTATGACCATGAGACCCTGAGGATCAGTGACTGCTTGGAAGACATGGGGTAAGATTACCCCCTGTCAAAGTGGGTAAAACTACCTTTGCTAACAGACTGGGAAACTTAGTAAGAAGAGCTTTAAACTGGGAATGTTGGAGGACTGAGAGAATAACCAACAATCACAGGAGGAAGTGATGGATAGGGTAGGCACTTAAAAGTTTATATGAACAAAAAGAACACAGCTATCAACAAATCAGGGCTGAAGCGGAATCACTCCTGGCAGCCCCTCTGTGCCAGGCACTGCCCCCTAAAGACGACTCCAGGCCCACGGTCTCCCCAGGTTGTTCCTGCTGCCCCAGTGACGGAGCAACCTGCTCTGAGCTGGTGCATGCAGAAATAGGTTTCTCTGTGGCATTTATTCCCTGTTGGAAGCACAGAGTTGCTCCTTTGCTCTTTTCCAGAGATGTCCCTGCCTTTCCCCAGAGGACTGTGTCCGTGCTCGCCAGGCTGGCCGCTCCTGCCCCCTCCCCGTACTCCCCGTAGGGCCTCAAGCTGGCGGTGCTGCTCTGCAGAGCAAGTGGGCTGTGGTGCCCAGAAGCCACAGGGAGACGGTCCCAGGCAGACCCCTGTGGATCATTCACCATCTCCAGGGGCACATGGCACTCACAGGTGAAGACTCAGCCCAGACCTGTTCCCTAACATATCGCCCCATGCCCTCCCGCCCTGAGCCCATGGAGAACCCAAGCACAGCAGCACGACCTCATGCAAGCAATTTCTTCAGCCTGACCTCAGCTTTGGAAGAAGACCCAAACTTCCAGACACTGGCACTGAGGAAATCCCCTTCTATTGCAGAGACGTGACACAGGAGGCCAGCTGTAACAGTGTGCCAGACACAATTATAAGGCCATATAAACTGCCTACATGTCAGACAGACTGGGTTCATGCCTCTGGAGAGTTGCAGTGGATGCGGACATTCCTGGAAAAATACGGTTATCACAGATAAAATGCTCAAAGCACAAGAAATTCCCAAGATGAATAGGAAATCACTTTGAAGTGACATATGCAGCTTATTGCTGCTGACAGAAAAATGACTGAGTCAGCTTCATCAATGCATCTTTAAGCTCCTGGTTCCTCATGCTGTAAATGAAGGCGTTCACTCCTGGAGGCATCACCGAGTACAGCACTGCCACCACCAGATCCAGGGATGGGGTGGAGATGGAGGGGGGCTTCAGGTAGGCCACCATGCCAGTGCTGATAAACAGGGGGACCACAGCCAGGGGAGCGAGGCACGTGGAAAAGTCTTTGTGCCCTCCCTGCTCAGAGGGGATCCTCCACACGGCCCTGAAGATCTGCACATAGGACGGCACAGTGAAAATAAAACACCCCAAGCTAAACCAACATTAACCATAAGGACCCCAGCTTTCCTAAGGTAGGATTGTGATCAGGAGATGTTGAGAATCTGGGGGATTTCAGAGAAGAACTGGTTTATGGCATTGCCTTGGCAGAGTGGTATGCAAAATGTATTCGCACCGTGCAGGACAGCATTGAGAAACCCACTGCCCCAGGCAGCTGCTGTCATGTGGACACAAGCTCTGCTGCCCAGGAGGGTCCCGTAGTGCAGGGGTTTGCAGATGGCAACGAAGCAGTTGTAGGCCATGATGGTGAGAAGAGAAAACTCTGCTCCAACCAAGAAGGCAAACAGAAAGACTTGGGCAGTACATCCTGTTTAGGAAATGTCTCTGGTTTCCCAGACGGAATTAAGCATGGGTTTAGGAACAGTGGTGAAAATGGAGCCCAGATCAAGGATGGAGAGGTTGAGGAAGAAGAAGTGCATGGGGTGTGGAGGTGGTGGTCACAGGCTACAGCAGTGATGATGAGGCTGTTTCCCAGGAGGGCAACCAGGCAGATGCCCAGGAAGAGGCAGAAGTGCAAGAGCTGCAGCGGCCGTGTGTCTGCAAATGTCAGGAGGAGGAACTCGGTGATGGTGCTGCCATTGGACATTTGGTCCCTCTGGGAATGGAAACACTGTCCAAGGAAAAAATGACGGTGAGAAGTTAGGGAATTCTCCTCTGACCCATTTCTTGTAGACCCTCCGCTTCTACACACACTCCCCTTTCTTTTTCTAGGAGACCTCCCTTCAGCTTTGTGGCTCGAGGTCTGGTGGGTTCTTGGTGAACGTGCCAAGAGGAGCAGTGCCTCTGGCTGGCGGCCAAGGAGTCAGCCCTGCTCTGCAGCAGTGGGTTCATGTGAGCGGTGGGTGCAAGGGCCAATCCTGGTGTTCAACTTTGTCAGATGAAATCGCTCCTAACACAGATGTTTGTCAGCATCTGCACTCCCAGTGCTGAGGAACGGGGATGGCAAAGGCAGTTTGAGAAGTCTGGGGTTTTTTTAGAGCTCCCCTCCTGTCTCCCATGGAGAGTGTTCTTGGATGTCAGAAATCCTCAGCGTTTCTGCTGCACTCAGTGAGAAGAGCGAGTCCTGTGAGGCAAAGGGATTGCCTGTGGCTTAGAGCAGAGTGAGGGGAGCTGGTTTGTCCATCTGTCATGTTCCCAGCTGCCCTGGTCTTGCACCTTTCTGAGATGGAGAGTTATCACTCCCATGTTATCCTGAAAAGCCACGTGGCACTGCTGAGAGCAGAGGGATCCACTGCAGACTACTAAATGTCTCACCCTTTCTCAAGGTCTCAGCACCCCACTTCTAGCCAAGGACACATGCGGCTCATTTCACCAACCCAATGACATTCCCTCGGTTGGGCATAGCATCTCTGCACATCTCCATTGGGGCTTTCAGATAACACAATGGTGCTATGAGAAAGATTTGCATCCTTAAGGGCAGCTCACAGCTTGGAAGGACAGCTCAAGCAGATAGCCAAGTGTCCTAACGATGGCATCTGATTAAGAGAAAAATATCTCATTCCCCATCCCACAGCCCCACAGGTTAAAGGAAAATTGGAACACCTCATTCCCATGAACACACCTGCATGGGAGGACCCACAAGATCAGTGTGTGACTCTGCAGCTGAAACTGCCTGACTGAGGGATCAAGGTAACAACATCAATAACACAGTCAAGTGGAAAAACAATGAAAAATAGAGTTCTAGCTGAGAGAGGCAAGCGGAGAGACAGCCGGGCACTCAGGACAGTGTTACCCTTACCCAGCTGTGCACGCCACCTCCCGGACATCAACATTGCCGGGCAGTTGCTGTCAGTCCGTGTGCTCTGCAGGGGGAACTGGGCATGTGGCTTGAGAGCACTATAGTAATCCTTCCCCTGACCCTCCCCTTGCAACATCCCCTGGAAAATATCCTAGGGGGATCTGGATCTGTGAGCAGCCCTGACCCACACAGCAATCTCTTGATAGCAGAAGGACCCCGCTCTGCCCTGCCTGGAGGTTGCTCCTTCCACCCACAGCTTCGCCCCACAGCGCCGTGGGGAGCTCCCCGGGCAGGCTGAGTGCTGACCCTGGCAGGCAGCAGAGTCCCTGCCCCAGCACACAGCCCCTGGGGCACAGGGACCCTGCTCTGAAAGACAGCCCTGGGCATCCCTGGGTGCACACCCAGCTTCACAACCCTGCAGCAATCCCTTGGAGTAGGCAGCCATCATGTCCTGTCTCTCTGATGGTGCAACAAGAAGTCCCTGCTTTGGAGCACATCCTCATCTTCTACAATAAACTGTGAGATTCCTCATGATAGATCCCATAGGCTGTGGGATGTGCCAGCTTTAGGAGATCTTTCCACGAACTGCAGATAGATTGCCCTGCAGCCAGAGACTTACTGCATCAAAGGCTGAGAAGATTTCTCCCCCAGTGAGCTCTCAAATTTTCTCCCGACACAGACTGCCTTTAACCTCTCTCTGCCTCACTCCTCTCCCCTCGGTGCCTGCAGGCAGTGCCCTCAGCCCTGCGTTGCTTTGCAGAGGACTTGCTTCTGGGCAGAGCTGTCTCTCTGCAGCGCTGCCTGCTTGCCAGGAGTTCCCTCCATGCCAGGAGTCCAGCCCTGCAGCAGAGGACCAGCCCAAGGTGGCACTTTCTCTGCCTCCTCTGGGCTCCCTCCAGGTGTCCCTGGGGCTTCAGGGGAACCTGCTGTGAAACAAGCTGAAGTCATCACTTATGCTCCCTCCCACATCTGGGAAGAGAGTCTTCTTTCCAGCAGTGTCATTTCTCCTGTCAGAGAAGGAGTTACATCAAGAATCACCTAGACAGGACAACCAGAAGGTGACAGGGAGGGATATCCTTTACCCCTGCTGAGGTAAGGGATTCATCCCAGTCATTCAAGGCATCCCATCCTGAGTTTGTAGTCCTGGGGCTAGAAGAGGACTCAGCTCCCTCACATGCAGACCACAAATCCTCAGGAGGTGGGATTCCTCTTGCCCCTGTTCATGTGTGCACAAAATAGACATCTGCATGTGAGCTGCTTGTCTCCACTCCCTTGCTAATTAATGTTGATTGACGGAGTTGTTCTGGTGAGAACACCTGGTGACATCTGAGGTGACATCAGAGTTTGTCCAAGATACGTGCAAGCTCTAAAGGAGCAATGCTGAGAGAGAGGACAGCATCTGGGAGCACCATCTTGGAGCGTGGTGGGGAATTCTTTCGGTAGACGGAAATGACACCAGATGTTTACATTTAGTACAACTAAAACTTTCCCTGTTCCTTATGTCCACAGCAGCCTGTAGAGGTATTCGGCTGACCAAATGGAGCTAAGTTCCTCTCTTTCTTGTCTCCATCAGTCTGTTACATCAGACTGTAATGGCAGTTACATGGACATCCCTCCATTGCTTAACCTAATTCAGGGCAGCTACTCAATGGCCAAATAAAGGCCTTGTAGTGCTACATGAGATGCCAGTGCTCTCCAGCACAACTGCATGGTGCTGGCAGGGACAGCACAGGACCTACAGGAAAACCATTCCTGTTCAGAGCGGGTGCATGACAGACACCCCAGAGAGTGTTGCAGACAGATTTGGTTTCTTTAGTACATGCCCAGGTGGCATCTCAGGCAGATTCGGTTTCTGTTGGCCAGCAACTGAATCCCACCACTGTAGTGAGGTCTGACCCAAGCTCATCCTGCTGATGCAGAGCCGTTCGTGAAAAGGAAGCCCATCACACTGGGGTCTCCAGTCATTTGGCTACTCCCAAACTCTGTTGGTTCTTCTTTCAACAATCCTTTGTTCAGCCCCTTGATGATACAATCAAGGAACAGGTCAATGATTGTCACAGTGTTCCTGGATCACAGCATGTCCAAACCCAAGGACATTTTCAGCAGCACCTTGTCTTCCTGAAGATCAGCTTCACCTCCACCACATGCCTTCAGAGGCTTCAGCGACACTACAGACAGCAAAACCTTCTCCTGCCAGGGCTACAGAGCCCAGCCCTGCTTTTCTGGCCTTGTGGGGAGCAGTATTTCCTCTTTTGGTGCCTTCACATTGCCATCTGCCATGCACTCCAGCATGTCTCTGATCTCAAGCACAGCATTTGCACATTTTGGGTCAGGGGCACTTAGTACAAGGTTTACCCAAGGCAAGTCTGAGATTGGCCCCAGTGCTACAGCTGAGGTGCTGCAGCCCAAAAATGCACCAATGCCCTCAGCCTGGGGCACAGACAGGAGGAGCTGGAGTCCCATGTGCCACCATAGAGTTTTGACATTGATGGAATAAATGGCAAGGTGTGGTGGGACAGCTCACAGTGATAGTGGTGCTGCCATGGTGCATATGGACTTTTCAGGAGAGGCAGGCTGGAATGATCAGGAGGGGAATGTCTTCGATGTGCAGGAGCTTATTGTCTATATGGAGCTCCTCTACGGGATGTGCAGCAGGTTGGGTAGGCGTTTGTGGGTGAGGGTCAGAAGAGAGGCCTGTTAGTCTGACATCGTGATAGGAGACAAATCACCTACAATCAGGGTAAGGATGTGGAGAAAGACTTATTTAAGCAAGCCATGGAAATCTCCAGATCAATGATCCCAGGTCTCACAGGGACTTTAATGACCCTGACTCTCACTGGAAGGCGAGCACAGCAGGATGCATACTTTCCAACCCCCAGGTGTCTGGGGTCTCTTGGGACAACTTCATTGCACAGGTGCCAGGCCATCAAAGGTGCTGCTCACCTGAATCTGGTCCTTGCAAAAGAGGGAGTGCTGATCAGGGATGTGAAAACCAGTGTCAGCCTTGGCTGTAGTGACCATGAAATAGTGGGAGAAGATTTTAGCCTCTTCAGGGGACTTTTAGTGGTAGTGCCATGGGCAGCAGCAATCAAGGGCAGCGGAGCTCACTACAGCTGGTCTTTCAGGAAAGCATCTTCCAAGCACAAGAACTGTCCAAACCAATAAGCAGGAAAACAAGCAGACATTTCAGGAGAGCAGCTTGGCTAAAGAAGGACCTCATCAAGAAGATCCATAGGAAAAAGGAAGCGTTCAGGAGGTGGCTGCAAAGACTCAAGGAGGAATTTAGAAATAAGGATGTTTTAGGGAAGCCAAAGGTTCCCTAGTGTGGACCTTTGCAAGGGGTTCAAGGGCATCAAGAGGAGCTGTTACTACTTCAAGAACAGTTAAAGAAAAAACAAAGATGCTGTGTGACCATTAGAGAATTTAGTAAGAGCAGGTGTAGATAGATCTGAGATACTCTATCCCCTTTGCTTGCTGTGTCTTTCAGCAGACTGCCTTTCATCT